TTGGAAACACTGCCAAATACTTCGGCAAAAAGCGCGAAGAGGACGGACACACCCATCAGTGGACAGTATACGTGAAGTCCTACAAGAATGAGGACATGTCTTCGTACGTGAAGAAGGTTCACTTCAAACTGCACGAGTCGTACGCCAACCCCAACCGCGTGGTCACGAAACCCCCCTTCGAGGTAAGGGAGACGGGTTGGGGTGAGTTCGAGATCGTCATCAAAGTCTACTTCATTGACCCCAACGAGCGACCCGTCACTATATACCACATCTTAAAGCTGTTCCAAACCGAGAATAATGTCATTAACATCAAGAAGGATCTCGTGTCCGAGTTTTACGATGAGATCATATTCCAAGACCCGTCGGTCATGATGTCTCAGTTGCTCTCTTCCAACAGACAGCTCACCTCAGGACCAGTCAAACACGGCATCGACTTCGACGACAAGAAGGAGAAGACAATCAACACTATACTGAACGCCAAGAATAAGGTTCGCCTCGAGATCACCGACTTGAAGGACAGACTCAAAGTGGCCAAAGAGGCCATTAATAAGTATAAGACAGAGATCGCCAAATCCAACGAGTGATCATCGCTTCCACTCCTCATCCAATCAATACTTCAATGAATTTCTATATTTTGTAAATAAGTTCATTCATTGCTTACTAACACTTGCATTGAATTTAATAAATGAATAATTGCTATAAAATATTGTATTTTGATTGGATTATTGCAGTGACCACTTTCATAATTCATATTAAATACCGTACTATCAAAAGTGTTTATTAAAAACCAAAATAATACTACAGTTACTGCATTGTTTTCGCTAATTTTAATACAGTACAGTATTTTAAAATAGTTTTATTCCAGTGATTGTGATTTTGGTTTTCAATCTTAACCATACGGTACTGATTATATAAAACTGACCACTTAATCGTACAGTACTGTCAATTCTACAGTGTAAATTGTACAAGTCTTAGCAAACAAATATTACGTTATGTAATGACAAATATCAAAGGTTTGCCAAAAGTTAATGTCTATTTGAGATCGAGTCCAAGAGATGGTATAGTAGTGGACCACAAGGCATATGATTATTCTATCAATTGCTTGCAGTTTCATACAGTGAACAGTATTTTGGATATTCTGTACAATACTTTATTCAGGAAATAAGTATACACTTGATTGACGTTTATGCAAATTTATTGATTTATTTTTCAACATTGATTGTATTAAAAAAATAAATTGACATTAAATTTATTCAATTGGTTCATAATTTTCTAACAAAATTCTCCCTGTTATGATATTATATGAAAATATATATAAAACATATTTATAAATAAATACTTTATAAACAATAAATAAAAGTTTGGATCAAATGTTTGGATCAAATGTTTGCTTTTCTGAGCTCCAAATATCCATTAATGATATCATTTGAAAAAGTCTTGATTAAAGCGAATTCATCCAAATTATGGTACAGTAGTTGAGTCGTCGGGTCCTTATAATTGGCCGGAAGTCCACTTAAATCCGAATATCAGATATTCGGATTTAAGTGGACTTCCGGCCAATTATAAGGACCCGACGACTCAACTACTGTACCATAATTTGGATGAATTCGCTTTAATCAAGACTTTTTCAAATGATATCATTAATGGATATTTGGAACTCAGAAAAGCAAACATTTGATCCAAACTTTTATTTATTGTTTATAAAGTATTTATTTATGAATATGTTTTATATGATATATTTTTAACAGGGAGAATTTTGTTAGATAATTATGAACCAATTGAATAAATTTAATGTCAATTTATTTTTTTAATACAATCACTGTTGAAAAATAAATAAATAAATTTGCATAAACGTCAATCAAGTGTATACTTATTTCCTGAATAAAGTATTGTACAGAATATCCAAAATACTGTTCACTGTATGAAACTGAAAGCAATTGATAGAATAATCATATGCCTTGTGGTCCACTACTATACCATCTCTTGGACTCGATCTCAAATAGACATTAACTTTTGGCAAACCTTTGATATTTGTCATTACATAACGTAATGTTTGTTTGCTAATACTGTACTTGTACAATTTACACTGTAGAATTTATAGTACTGTATACAGTACGATTAAGTGGTCAGTTTTATATAATCAGTTTTATGGTTAAGATTGAAAATCACACTTCACTGCAATAAAACTATTTTAAAATACTGTACTGTATTAAAATGATCTAGAGTAAAATTATCTAAAACAATGCAGTAACTGCAGTGAAGTATTATTTTGGTTTTTAATAAACACTTTTGATAGTACGGTATTTAATATGAATTATGAAAGTGGTCACTGCAATAATCCAATCAAAATACAATATTTTATAGCAATTATTCATTTATTAAATTGAATGCAAGTGTTAGTAAGCAATGAATGAACTTATTTACAAAATATAAGTATTGATAGAAGTATTGATTGATTGGATGAGGAGTGGAAGCGATGATCACTCGTTGGATTTGGCGATCTCTGTCTTATACTTATTGATGGCCTCTTTGGCCACTTTAAGTCTGTCCTTCAAGTCGGTGATCTCGAGGCGAACCTTATTCTTGGCGTTGAGTATAGTGTTGATCGTCTTCTCCTTCTTGTCGTCGAAGTCGATGCCGTGTTTGACAGGTCCTGAGGTGAGCTGTCTGTTGGAGGAGAGCAACTGAGACATCATGACCGACGGGTCTTGGAATATGATCTCGTCGTAGAACTCGGACACGAGATCCTTCTTGATGTTAATCACGTTGTTCTCCGTTTGGAACAGCTTTAAGATGTGGTATATAGTGACGGGTCGCTCGTTGGGGTCAATGAAGTAGACTTTGATGACAATCTCGAACTCACCCCAACCCGTCTCCCTTACCTCGAAGGGGGGTTTCGTGACCACTCGGTTGGGGTTGGCGTAGGACTCGTGCAGCTTGAAGTGAACCTTCTTCACGTACGAAGACATGTCCTCATTCTTGTAGGACTTCACGTATACTGTCCACTGATGGGTGTGTCCGTCCTCTTCGCGCTTTTTGCCGAAGTATTTGGCAGTGTTTCCAAACACTATGGGCTTCACCACCACTGCCCCCTTGACACGCCCGCCCGAGTCGGGCCCGTACTCACTCATCTTGGACTTCATCATCACCATCTCCGTCATTGTACTCATTGTCTCCTCTATGGTGTGGTCTATGCGCTCATCACTACAACTCATTCACTACTAACCACTCAATTGATTGCAAATCACAATCAAAACACTATTTAATTCACTATTTCTTTGATCGCAGGTCTGCGAGCAATACTGTGTAATAGCTCTTCATATATAGTGTTACAATAATTACACAAATTTTATACCCCATTGATTGCATAGCTAATAGCTATGTATGATAAGCATGTAGTCTATGTGCCCCCAAACACCCGCCACCTCACGATTTGTATGCTTTATCTGAACGATTAGTGCAGTGAAAGTGAGCCGTAATTGTTGTGCTGAACTCGTCGTGAATGAGACGAGTGTTGAACGAGAGGTGTCTTTGCCTTCAATTCAATGACAAACTAATCATTCATTTGATTATATATTCAATGCTTTGGTATTCATATTAAAGCTAATCCTGTCTTCGGTTGCAATCACTGGACATGAATCCCAACGACGAGACCACTGCTCAACACACGACACCCACGGACTGCCGGTATTGTCTCAAACACACCACTCCTCCCATTACACAACCCTTCCTTTGCATCACTTCTGCCATCATTTCCAAGACGTTTCCAATGAATGTGTCTTTGAATGCATTTTTAGGACCAATTCAGTGACGAATGAGGCGAAGAAGTCGAAGCATAAGAACCGGAAGAATAAGAAGAACAAAGAGGTTAGCCATGAGAGCAACAACACGACGGCAGCACATCCGCAGACCTGTTGCAGTGACTCTTCGCACAGTCATAGTAATCACGTGACTGAAGCGGACGGAGCGGTGGGCGGACAGCCGTCGGAGTCGGGCGATCCGAATGAGATGAATGCCTGGACTTATAATAAGCTGCAGGACATCAAGAAAGCCGTCGAAATGCTGAACCTCTATCAGGGATCGGGATCTGCGAAGACACCGGAGGACGCCATGAAGAAGAGGTACGAGTTCTGGGACACACAACCCGTTCCCCGACTCGACGAGACTCCCGATGTGAACGATGCCATTGAGGGCCCAAAGACTGCCGAACAGATAAAAGCCGAGTCTTTGAATTTGCCGAATGGCTTCATATGGGATACGCTGGACATCAACGACGAGCACACCGTAAGACTTTCGACACTAATCGATGCATTGATTGATGTGTTTGTTTGACAGTTAAAAGAGTTATATCTTCTGCTGAATGAGAACTATGTCGAAGACGACGACAATATGTTTCGCTTCGACTATTCGCCGGAATTCCTTCACTGGGCTCTAAAGCCTCCCAATTGGCAGAAGGAATGGCACGTCGGCGTCAGAGTCCAGAAGAGCAACAAAATGGTTGGATTTATTAGCGCCATTCCCGCCAGGATTAAGGTCTACGATAAGTATGACTACATTAGACATGAATTGAATTACGAATTAATTGGTAACCAATGAAACGACAGAATCATAAAAATGGTTGAAATCAACTTCCTTTGCGTCCACAAGAAGTTGCGCTCCAAACGAATGGCACCCGTTTTGATCCGAGAGATCACCCGTCGGGTGAACCTGACCGGCATATTCCAGGCCGTCTACACCGCCGGTGTGTTTCTGCCCAAACCTGTGGGCACCTGTCGCTATTGGCACCGATCTATCAATCCTAAGAAATTGATTGAAATAAAGTTCTCGCACTTGAGCCGCAATATGACTCTTCAGAGAACTGTTAAACTCTATAAACTTCCAGAGGATATCAAAATCACAGGCTTTAGGAAAATGCAAACAAAGGATATCAAGAAAGTCCAGAAGCTGTTGAACGCATATCTCAATCGCTTCGATCTCTCGCCTGTTCTCGACTACGAGGAAATGGTTCACTGGTTTACTCCCAAAGAGAATGTGATCGACAGCTTTGTAGTCGAGGTTTGACTTTTTGCAAGACGTTTATGTGGTATCAGTTGACGTGACCAACGATTTTCTTTTAGAGACCAGTGGCTGAGGGAAAGAAAGGCGAGACTGAGATCATAGGGTTCGCCAGTTTTTACACTTTACCCTCAACTGTTATGCATCACCCGACCTATAAGAGCATTAGAGCCGCCTATGCTTTCTATAGCGTTGGCTCAGAGGATGTCAGCCTTCATGACCTCATGCAAGACGTGCTAATCGTCGCCAAAAACGTCTGTTGTTTTGTTTTATCATTTTATATGTGATCCTAAACTGAATGCATGTATTGATAGGCCGGTTATGACGTATTCAATGCCTTAGACCTCATGGATAACAAGGAATTCTTGGAGAAACTGAAGTTTGGTATTGGAGACGGAAATCTTCAGTACTATTTGTTCAATTGGAAGTGTCCGCCACTCACTCCTGAAAAGGTATTACTTTCTCAAATGTTTTACTCCTTAATTACTATCACTTTTTGATCATTAGATTGGACTCGTGTTACAGTGAAGTTCAGTTCAGAAGTCCATTGAAAGTGAAGTTCAGTTTAGAATATATATTCAAATGAATTATATTTATTGATTAATACTATGAAAACACGTTTTCAAATGCTTTGTATTGACACAAATTTCAAATACAATTCATATACAGTAACTGACTATTGTTTTGCATTACATGTAAATCTGGTCACTATTTAGTTATTAATATTAATACAAATTTATTTACTTTGTTGTATTAAATGCTGATTTTATTATTTCGTATGTATCTTTTATATTAAATTGATATCAAATAACTTTTGTTTTCATTTTTTGCTCAAAAACATTTTCCATTTAATATTTTAATACCATTTTGTGTTATTTTTACGGTAATAAAATAATTTTTAACTTTCAATTTAGTGTTGCTATGAATTTAAGTTTATTTTAAACAATTTGGTGTTTCACACAATTCTGTATGTATTGAAAATTCTATACTTTAATATTTTTTAAAGATACCAAAAATTGAATAAATATATGAATTTCTGTATAAAGAATAGCCTTTATTTAAAATAAATATCATGGTAATATCAATTCATGGTAATACTTCTTTATAACAAATATAAATAACAAAATTAGAAATAATTTATTTTTAAAAATATAATATTAGTTTCATAACATATCAAATCTAAGCAGATTAATGTGTTAGGAATTTGAAACGTGTTTAATGACTGAATTAATGACTGTTTCCATTCATTACATTTGGCCACAAAAGAGACAAAGAATCGTTGGATCTCTTAACAAACATAACTGACGGTGCGTTGAACTCAATGTCCACTTTCTTATCCTTTTTTCCGAGTTTACAGAAAACGGGTTCTCCGACCTTTACTTTCAATTCTCGCTTTTGAAGTCTACGGGTTGTTATCAATCATAAGAATTTCATAATAAATATTTCAATAGAAATCAAAAGTCATGAATATTTCACTCACAAGTAGTATTGATGCAGAAGAACAGCCACGAGTTCTCCCACGCGATTGATGTTTGAGTTTTGATTATCTTTAAGGTTTACTAACGAGAAGAGAAAATCGTTGCCGTCGTTCAGGTGAATGACAACGAGTTGATCCAAACCGGAAGAGATACTAATACCAGTCATGCTCT